AGTCAGAGAGCATCCTCTCCCGCCCCGCCCCCGCCGGGCCGGCCGTGGGCTCCTCGGTTCAGCGGTCCAGGATGGTTTATCTTGGAGGGGGTGTGCGAGATAGAGGTGAGGTGACCTGTGGGCGAGGAAAGAGAAGGAGCCTTCTGGAAACTTAAAGGTTCTTTATGGTCATTTAGTTCCCACACCAACCCATCAGACAGATCGGAAAACAGAGGCCAGAAGAGAAGGGCTGGGTCTGATTCTAGTTCAGAGTCGCATCACGGGTCTGGCACCCGCCCCCCCACTTGTGGGGCTGGAACCCAGGTCTGGCCTCTGCAGCTCCTTTCTGAGAACCTGGGTCGGAGTCGGGGTCCAGCTGGGCTAGGGATTCACTGTGATCACCCCAGGCTGGGCCTCGGAACTGGTTCTAGCCTGGCCTCATCCCTGGTTCCTGAGGAACAGGGTCCCGGAGCGTGCGTGTGTGTGTGTGTGTGTGTGTGTGTGTGTGTGTCCGCGCGCGCCTGGCCCTGGACGGGCACCACTCACGTTGTCCTCCGGTCTCGGCGGGAGGGCGGCGTTCTCCGCAGAGCGGGACCAGTTTCCTCGTCAACGACCAGAGCCGCTTCGCCAAGGAAGTGCTGCCCCAGTACTTCAAGCACAGCAACATGGCGAGCTTTGTTCGGCAACTCAATATGTGTGAGTCCCTAGGTCCTGGCCGGAATTGGCGGTGGGTGACTTGGTGCGAGGGGATGGGGCCATTTACGGCTCCACGCCGCACCCCGCAGACGGGTTCCGGAAGGTGGTGAGCATTGAGCTTCGTGCGCGGCCGGGAGCAACTACTGGACCGCGTGCGGCGCAAGGTGGGGCAGCCTGCAGGGACCAGCGAGCCCGGGTGGAGGTGCTGGGTCGGCTGCCCAGTTTCCTGTGACTCAGGCCCCACCGTGCCTCCCGCCTGCAGGCGCCTGCGCTGCGCAATGACGATGGCCGCTGGCGCCCCGAGGACCTGGGCCGGCTGCTGGGCGAGGTGCAAGCTTTTCGGGGAGCGCAGGAGAGCACTGAGGCGCGGCTGCGGGAGCTCAGGCAGTACGGGGTGGGGGAGGCGGGGCAGGGAGCTGGGGGAGAGGGAGGTCCGTGGCGCAGAGGAGGTTGGGAAAGGGGTAGGGGAGCGGCGAGTCTGGGTGAGAGGATACTGAAGTTCTGGGCAGCCTTCCTCTCTCGGGTCTTGGCGCCTTCATCCAGACAAAATGGGCCGGGCTGTGGAACTCTGTTCTCTGTGGATGATGATCATCCGGGTGGTTGCGAGCTGGGACTTGCCAGTCTGCGGGGAGTGGTGACTGGGACAACTCTCAGATGCCTCAGCCCCTTCCCACCCCCTCTCCCAGGCAAAATGAGATCTTGTGGAGGGAGGTGGTGACTCTGCGGCAGAGCCAGGGCCAGCAGCACCGGGTCGTTGGCAAGGTATCCTCTCCCCCACAGACTGACTCCCTCTCCCACTCCCCAATCTGCCCTCTGCCAGTCCTGTACCCCACCTGAAAGTGCCCTGTTAGGCTGGGGGCAAGGTCCAAAGGGTGAATGAACCCTTTGTTCCTCTTCAGCTGATCCAGTGTCTCTTTGGGCCACTTCAGGCTGGGTCCAGCAGCACAGGAGCTAAGAGAAAGCTGTGAGTGAGAAAGCTAGAGACACTCACCTGCCCCCCCGCCCCGCATCCACACCTTCCCTGCCTCCTCCTCCAGAAACCCCTTCCTCCGGAGTCCTTATCCCTCTCCCTCTATACCAGTCTTCCTCCCCCCAAGGCCATCTCCGCAGGACCCCCCCTTGTAGGACTTTCCCCCTCACCCCCCAACTTCACCACCAAAACCCAACTCTCAGATCCCTCAGTTCTAGGACCTTATCGCCAAATTTCCATCCCAGCAGCCCCTTCCCCTGTCCCCCAAAGCATCCCAACATCAGAGGGTCTGGGGTTCTACCCCCAAAGGTCCCCCATCTCTGGGGGGAGCCCCTTCTGCCTTCAGCATGTGACTGATGCCCTGGCAACAGGCCTCAGCTCTGCTGACTTGGCTGCTGGGGCCTGTGGGAGGGAGGTGGTACAGACTGTGGGGCATGAGCTGAAATCTGTATCCTGCCACCTGCACAGGTCCCTGATGCTGGATGAGGGGAGCTCATGCCCAACACCGGCCAAATTCAGTGCCTGCCCCCTACCTGGTGCCCTCCTGCAGGACCCCTACTTTATCCAGTCGGTAGGTTTTGTTTCTCCTTCCTTCCCTAGGGCACAGCTGGGCTTATGGAGAACCTATTCCTTTTCCCTCTGCCTCTCCCCCCAAAAAAGAGAAGATGGAGGTCAGCCTCACCCCCATCCCCAGACCAGACTCCCCAGCATGGGCTGCAAATCTAACCCCTTAGACCTGGTCCTTGTGGGTACTAACTGGGTCTGGATTACCCTGTGGCTTGAGGTGAAGGGTTAGGCCTCATCTACTTACAGCCCCTCCCAGAGACCACCTTGGGCCTCAGCATTCCTCACAGGGCCAGGGGACCCACCATCTCTGACATCCCGGAAGATTCTCCAGCCCCTGAAGGGACCAGGCTTCTTCCCTCCAGTGGTGGCAGGAGGTAGGAGAAACAGACAGGGGCTGTCCTCTGGGCAGCCTGTAGGGGGGAGCCTGGCAGTCCAGATGGCTGTCGGGTAGGGGAGAGGTCAGTGCCAGGTCTGGTTGAAGCTTTTCTCTGGTTCAGGGAGAACAGCCAGGCATTGCTCAAAGAAGAGCCAGCCAGCCCAGGAGTGGACGGCCTGGCTGGGCAGGCTCTGGCCCCAAACGAGTGTGGATTCTGTGTGACAGCCCCACCACCACTGCCTGTGGCTATGGTGCAGGCCATCCTGGAAGGAAAAGGGAGCTTCCGCCCTGAGGGGCCCAGGAGTGCCCAACAGCCTGAACCAAGAGGGCCCAGGGAGGTACCTGACAGGTGAGCAGAGAACCTATTCTTGACTGTGTTCCTCCTGGGCCACTTTGGCAGGTAGACCAGCACTAACTAGGCCCCTGTGACTTCCCAGCCTTGTCTGCCCCCTGGTGGCTGAGGAGGATGTTGGGTACTGTGAGATGTCCTGATTTCTCAGAGCTGCTCTAAAGAGTACCAGCATCAGGCCCTAGCCGGTCTGGCTCAGGGGATGGAGCGGCCTGTGGACTGAAAGGTCCGGGATTTGATTCCCGTCAAGGGCATGTACGTCGGTTGCAGGCTCCTCCCGGGCCCAGGCCCTGATCAGGGTGATATTTCTCTCTGTCTTTCCCTTTCTCTTCCACTGTCTCTAAAAATCAATGGAAAACTATCCTTGGGTGAGGATTAAAATAATAATGGTAAGAGTACCAGCATCAGAGGTCCTGGAAAGTGGAAACATCTCTGTGGTAGGGCTCGGGTACCTGCATTTTAACGAGTCCATTGAGTGGTTGTAAAGATTGTAAAACACACAATTTAAAACCACTGGCATTGGCCATTGCATAGGGAGGGGACACATCCCAAGACCCCAGCTCTACAACCCAGTCCTCAGGCCAAAGGTAGGAGGCAGACACTCTTTTTAAAAAATATATTTTTATTGACTTTTTACAGAGAGGAAGGGAGAGAGATAGTTAGAAACATCGATGAAAGAGAAACATCGACCAGCTGCCTCCTGCACACTCCCCACTGGGGATGTGCCCGCAACCCAGGTACATGCCCTTATAACCGGAATCGAACCTGGGACCTTTCAGTCCAGTCCGCAGGCCGACGCTCTATCCACTGAGCCAAACCGGTTTCGGCGGAGGCAGACACTCTTATGTGCCCCTCTGTGAGGGGTCCTCTCCTACCACTTTCTAGATATTGTCAGATTTAGACCCCGATGTATCCAGGTTCCTTTAGAACCTAACTGGAGGGGGAGTGGTACTGCAGGCCAACAGCAGTTCTCTGTGAACAGGGGGCCTCTGGGCCTGGAAAGCGGGGGCCAGAGCCCAGAGAGTCTGCTGCCTTCAGTGCTACTTCGGGCCCTCCCTGAAAGTGTGGAGCCTGCAGGGCCCCTGGATGTGAGTACGCCTGCAGCAGGACACAGGGCTGTGCAACCTGGGAGGGGCACCATTGACCCAGAGCTCCCCCAGGTGCTGGGCCCCAGCCTCCAAGGGCGGGAATGGACCCTGATGGACTTGGACATGGAGCTGTCCCTGGTAAGATGGGGCAGAGGGCAGGGGTTTGGGAGTTGCTGGGCTAAGCCCTTCATTCAGTCCATGGCTGTTCTGTCAGCCAGAGCCCTAGCTCCTTTCCCCAGCTGCTTCTGTGGGGTTCTCCCATGCAGATGCAGCCCCTGGTTCCAGAGAAGGGTGAGGCTGAACTGGCCGTCAGGGGGTTAAATTCTCCAGGCCCAGGTAATGATGGTGGTGACCCAGGACCTGGGGGAGGCCCTGGTTGACCAGCACTACCATGATTGGGTGGGCTGGGCAGTTTGTGTTTGGGGGACACCCCTTGAGAGTTTAGGCTGCCCCCTAGAGAGCTGCTTATGTCACCCATCCCCTTACCACTGGGTGAGAGTGGGGAGGTTGAGAATGGAAGTTTCATCCCAGCTGACTAGAGGGCAAGATGGGCGAGGCTCCCCTTCCCTGCTGAGCACTGTCCCCCTCCGCCTAGGGACGGACTCCACTCTTCGGACATCACTCCTGCTGGACGTCCCGGCGGCTGTGGGAGGCCCCGCTCTCAGCCTGCCTGGAGCTGTAACCATTCAGAGCCCCCTCCCTGCGAGCCGGGCCTCCCACCTGGGTCCCGGGGCTGATCCCTCCCCCTGAGACTCTCGTCTGAAGCCAGCCTGGCTGAGGGCTGCAGCCTCAGGCCTTTCTCGCCTTCCTGTCCCCCTGGCGGAGGCTGAGCGAAGACCCTGCTGCTCGGAGGCCCCCTTCCACTACAGTTCCAAGTTATGCACATAAACCCCGTTGTTTTCTGTGTTTCTGGTCTCTTCTCTACCGACCAGGGAGCACAGAGGCCTTGGGGGAGGAGGGGCGATTTTGCGTTCGTAGAAGCGTCCAGGTCCCAGAGCTTTAATGGAGAAACTCACTCCTGGAGAGGGGAATGCCCGGGCATCCTGCTCCTCGCTCCCCTGCTTGGGCCTGGATCCTCCGGCCCAGACCCACTGCAACCTCCGGGAGGGGGGGCTTTGTGGCCACACCCAGCTCCGCAACGAATCCGCTCTGGGGTCCTGGGTCAGCGGGTCCCCTTCTCTGAGCCTCCTCTGTGGTCGGTAGAGAGGGTCCATGAGAAGATGGGGGCGAAGCGCCTGGGCATTGCCAAGCCCACAGTGGGCGC